GCATTTGCATTCTCTTCACAATACTCATTGTCATTGGGACGATCAAATAGTGCCAAAATTGTTTTATGTATTTTGGGATTCACATATATCTTAAAAATTTTACCTCTCATAGTTTGTATTTTTATTCGTTGCACTTGAAACAGAGTCTATTCCCAAGCTGATGACTTGTAGAGTCAGTGGACATTGCTAAATGTAAAATATATAAGAGAACTGTCCAACAGAGTTGACAAAGTTTCCAATAACAAGAAAAAGAAAATAAAGAACAAGGCAAAAAATAATATAAGGCAAGCAAACAATAAATACAAGGCAAATTAACAGTAATATAAAAGCAACAGTAATGGATGGCAAAGCAACAGTTTATGGCAAAGCAACAGTAATATGGCAAAATAATAACAGTAATATGGCAAAGCAACAGTAATACCTTTGAGCAACAGTAATATGGCAAAGCAACAGTAATATGGCAAAGCAACAGTAAATGGCAAAAATTAACAGTAATATGGCAAAACAACAGTAATATGGCAAAGCAACAGTAATATTCAAAGCAACAGCCTGGATATATGGCAAAGCAACAGTAATATGGCAAAGCAACAGTGCTGCTGGCAAAGCAACAGTAATATGGCAATCAACATTAATATGGAGGTTCAACAGTATTGGCAAACATAATATGGCAAAGTTGGAGTAATATTATAAAGCAACAGGTTAATTTGGCAAAGTATGCATAATATGGCAAACAACAGTAATATGGCAAAGCAACAGTAATATGGCAAAATAACAGTAATATGGCAAAACAACAGTAATATGGCAAAGAACAGTTCATATTGCAAAGGCATGTAATATTTGTCAAAATTTCAGCCTGCAGGCAAAGCAAACATATGCTATGCCTGTTCAACAGATCTCATTTGGCAAAGAAACAGTAATATGGCAAAGCTGTATAATTTGGCAAAGCAACAGTAATGGGCAAAGCAACAGTAATATGGCAAAGCAACAGTAATATGGGGATAACAGGTAAATATGGCAAAAGCAACAGTAATATGGCAAAAAGTTTACAAACTAAGAATTAAATTTGACAAGACCAAGTTCAGACAAGTGAATCTAGTGTTCTGACTTCAAGACAAGATAGACCAGGAGAATCAGCCTATTTTATTTGCTAGAAAAAAAAATTGCATGATTTTTAAAAATATTTTTATAAACTGGTACATTTTAGTACCTCCCCATTGGATTGTTAAGTGGAATGGCTTTGTTTTTTCTTGAATGGCTTTGGTGTTCTTGGACAGATTTTGTAAAATCTGCAAGTATGATCACTGTTTTTTTTTGTATTGTCCCATTTGTTATTAGATCGTCATTTTTTTCTCTCGTGGCAGAAATAGCATCTATGGCGGCATCTCCCCAGCAGCCAACTACCACAGGACCATAGGCGTGGCTGGCAGATAGACCAAACAAGGGACCAGATTACTGTGAGGCCCTGAAGGAGCGGTATAAGGAGTATATTCTGGAAGCAAGTTATTGACCATCCCTTCTGCCTTGGAGGCAGTGTATACAAGGACGATCTCCCTACTGAGCACTGATGTGAAATTAAGCAAGTAGATCGGTGTCGGTAGGGAGGCAATGGAGGGTGCCTTGAAGAGCCTCAACATTCAGGCCAACACTTTGCCCTCTAAGTCAAATATCATGTGTGACATCCAGCTAGCAACTGTGGAAGAAGCAAAGACTTTCAGTTGGGGCCATTCCTAGTGGATCTGTCATGTTTAGTCTTAATGGAGAACTGGAATGCTGTCCTGGACCTCAGCATAGATAGTGGGTGGGGAGCTAGCAAGAAGACGGGTGATTGTAGTCTGGTTAATCTGATCAAGTTTGGTCTTGTCAATAGATCACCCAAGGCAGGAAATGTGAACATGGGTTCTTAATTGCTCCCCTGCTACTGCATTTTTTTTTTTTGAAGGTGCAAAAACATGAACACCTACTGTTTTAAAATTGTTATAACAGGCTCTGTATTGTGCGTATAGATTTTAATTTTTATACACTAACAAAAGGATGAATAATCTAATATGTTGATGTAATGCATTATGTTTTGCATGCAGGTTTTGATATTGAAAACAAAAAAAAAAAAAATTGAAACGCAAAATAAAAAACATGGAATAAAAAACAAATACATTAAAAAATACAAATAATTCAACATACTTTAACTTTTATTACACCTTGTGGAGTTCTGGGGGGTGCAATAAAAAAAATCACTAAAAAAGCTTATGGCATTTCAAAAAAAAAAAAAAGTGACTGTTTTCTTGTGTGTCTAAATACAAGAAGACACTAATATTTGTTTCCAATTTCACCCGATTGATATTTATCTCATTGACAAATAGTTATTTCATTATTTATAAATCGACAAAATAATTCACCTTCAGAAAGGCTATCAGATATATTAATGGTCACCAGTAGCTTCCATAAAATTATTTAGGCATGGACGATAGTAGCTGCTAGTGGTCATCGCTTTCCTCCTTGTCACTAGCATGATTATTATCTCTGACCACTTCACCGTCAATATCCACTCAAGTAAAGCCTTCAAAATCATCGGAGTCTTAAAGAAAAACTCCCGAATAAAATCTGTTGGATACTGATATGGCCATTTTTGTTTACAAAAATTTGCAAAAAAATTAACATGGGTTTAATTATGTTACACCTCATGTAGAGTCTAGAAAAATTCAAAATGGCATTGGAAAATGGAAGTTTAGCCTTGTCCCAAAGCAGTAGTAGGTGATTTCCAGCTTTAAATACCGGAAATAACAGTTGACAAGTGTTTATTTATAGCAACCATTTCAAGGTGACAGAATGCACCTAGGGAGAGAATTCTACAGTGATGATTGTCACCTGCAGTTTGGTAACAGTTAAGTAGCCATCTACCTAAGTGGCTAGCTACCTGGATAAAATGTTAGTGAGAAAAACTGATCATCTCTGCATTATATACTATAATTGGGTATCCCAACAGAATATAAAACTATAATTCATATTAATTCTATAAAAAATTTATACCACATGCTATTGGACAAAAAGTCAATTTTAACAGTCTAAAACTGAAGATGCAGGCATCAAACAAGTTAAAAATCATTATAAATGTAATATCACATAGCATTATCTTTCTTTTCCTTAAAGATTAACAGAATCAATAATTCTTAGATCAGACTAGCCTAAACATTAGGAAAATTTTGTTTTCAAAAATAAATTTGTAAAAATAGGACACAGATGGGCAAATCTAATGAACTATGTGAGCTTTATTTCAACAGTTAATGTCTTGCAACTTCATAGCACAACATACATGAAGCTAATCTTCTTTTTTTTTTTGGTTGTGGAAAAAAAAAAAAAATCTATATTTACACCATAAAAAAACACAGCCAAACGCTTAATTTGACAGTAGGGCAAATGTATACCATACTGAACTTGCCCTAAAAATGAAACTTAGAAATTTGTTTTACAAAATGAAAAAAAGAAAAAACAGATACTTTAATATAAATGCTTTAAAATTTCTGGACATTGTATGGTTCTCCTGCACTTCTAAAGGTGATTTACAGACTGGATGACTTGACCAATGTAAAAGTTGGAGTCATAATATACTGCAACCTACCGGTTTTAGAGGTTCATAACTGAAGTTTACTAGAGGTGGTGGTTCTTCATCTAGAGTTGTTTAAATACTCTGAATAAGAAGTGTCTTTTCTTTCCTTTGTCTTAGCGCTGGAGATTTTCTTGTCTTTAAGAAGTTGCAAAGAGCAGCTTCCAGCTGAGATTTACTTCAACTGGTGTTGATCTTGATACCCAAGAAAACCTTCATATATCAAAGTTGATCTTTCAGTACTTCCAAACCACTGCTTGTTGTACAGGTTTAATGACAGTTAATCATTAGTCTCTTCGCATCAGCTTGACACTTCCTTTTGCCTCTTTTTAGCAATACTTTCTTGTACATGAAGTTTCAAATATCAAGATATGGTGACGTATGTTGTCTTATTTTTGGTCAGTTCCACTCCAACTTTCAAATTAACATTTAAATTTTGAGGAAGCTTGAGAAAGTTTTTTTTCATTTACATAAAAAAAAAAAATTAAATTCAACTGTGAACATGCTGAAAGTTAATCATGAACCTTACCAAAAAGTAACTTTCAAGTCAGATTTTTAATTTTTTCCCTTAAAAATTATAAATCATTTAAATTGGAACAAGTCTTTGGAGGCTTATTCAATCAAATCTATAAATGCTTTGACAAGCCTAATTGCACGCCCATTGGGTTGGAACAAAAGTTGTTTTTCAATAGGTGGCATTTGAACAGATGGATGTGTGTATATATATATATATATATATATATATATATATATATATATATTTTTTATATATATATATATATATATTTTTTTTTTTGAATAATGAAATTTCACCATATCTTTCCTGTAAATTGTGTGCAGATTTGTGAATTTAAGTGTTTTACATTAAAAGTGAAAATTGATACTTTTCTGGAATAGAGAAAACGGTAAATAAAAAGACATACTGCTGATGGAAATGGTGCCATAGCTGAGAATCTTGCTCCTAAATGGTTCACTTTGTTCAAAATTGATTTGAAAGATCAAGTTCCAAAATTTTTTTTTAATGGGAAAAATTAAAAATTCTCAGGAAGCCCATAAAAACGCACAGACTAATTTCATCAGAAAGATGTCAATTTACAGGATGATGGATCATTATGCTGCTTAAGATGGTGAAAGTAGTGGAACAAAAAAAGACATGAGGTTGAATAAATTTGAAATTTTGTTCTGAACCAATATCAGGGTTTACAAGTAACAAAAATTTCTCAAAATAGATAGCAATAAAACGGGCCATAAGATTTGGATTCATGACTTTTCTCGTGGCATGAATGCAAAGTGAATAATCTCAGCCAAAAATTCAAACAATTAGACAGTTTTATCCCATTATGAAAGGAAATAAAGGTTTAGTTTATCAGTTCAGCTTTTATTTAAGTAAAAATAAACTCACATCATTTGTGTCTTTAACTCGTAAAATCTGTTCACGGAGGTCTTGTAAGTCATTAAACGTTGACTGTGCAGTAATGGAATAAACCAACAGAAAGCCTTGTCCATTTTTCATATATAGATCCCTCATAGCAGTGAATTGTTCCTGTAAAAAATAAAACAATTACATTATATAATGGTGCGAGAAATTCACATATAAAAGATTTTGTTTATCAATGAAAAATGAAAAGCTACAGCCATCATACAATAAGAGAAACTGAAATTAAACTTGTATAAGCTCAAGTACTTGGTGTTCAATCTAGTAAGAAAACTGGCTATAAAATAGAGCAAGTGTAAAACTGCCTGAAACAAGTATTATAAGTAAAAAATATCTGGCCACAACTAAATATCTTCCATCTATATAAATTTTGTATAATCAGCATGAAGTCTTGTCCATGTCCAAAGTTGCTAATCAGAGAAATCTGTTAGATTTGAGGCATGCTATAATTTCTGCAGATCTCTATGTTGGGGACAAAAAAAAAAAAAAAAAAAAATTGTTATACAAAAAGTGTAAGAGTGAATTCTGCATTCTGAATGGGTAGAAATCTGTTTTTTTTCTCTTAAAATTTATTCATTTACTTCAATAGATAAAAATGCTACAATATAATTTGTGATTACATTGATTATTTTTTTTCTTCTGCTGATTGAAAAAAACGATATTAAACAAGATTGACTATCAGTAAGATCCATTTTCGAAAGCAAGTATGCTAGTTCAAAAATCATAGTCAATTAAAATTTCACTCTTCCCAATACAATATGCAGTGTAAATTAGTATTCCCCTCCATTCTTTTTTTTTTTTTTAAATCAAGGCTAGTAAAGAAAGTTTAAAATATAAGTTTTCTTACAAGACTAAGTTTGTTAAATAGAAAATATAAATACCAAAAACTCCCTTTCAATTTGATGAGTTCCTTTCAGCTAAAAAGAAAGTGCACACGGTATGTGCAATTACTTTCTGCAATCCACTTTTCATTTCTATTTCATCTATCAGCAACATTAACAATTTAGAATCAAAAATGAGTTAGCGATAATTCTGAAGCTATCTTTTTTTAAAAGAGATAATTTTTGATGATCAAGTGACCAACTCCATGTAGTAATTATTATTAAGTAAAAAGTTAAAAACTTTTTTGGCATATTTTGGTCATAGTAATCTTTAAATTCAACAAAATACTGTATTCCTGTAATATTTGGAGCTGACAAAAAAGTATTTCCTCAAAGCAGGCTTTGTGATCAACAATCTTGCAATTTTAATTATTTACAAGTTGGCAACATTTTATCTGTATGTTTAAAAATTGCTGGAGCACGTTTAATATCAAGATGCAGTCTATTATATTGATATATACCCACCCAACTTTTCAATCAAGTCTTATAATAGTATTAATGGTTGCAGGTTCAAATTCCTTAAGCTGTCACTAAAATTTTCTTTCATAAAGTCATGTCATTTAAGAGTAGTGCAATGCCTGATGAACCAAACTGACAAAATTGTAGTAGTATGAAGCAATTATCTAGACCCGCTTATGAATGTCATGCATGATATCCATCTCATTAAGAAATGAATAAACTAGCATTTATATACAACCATTTTTTCAGATTAATCATTAAAAACAACTTCAAGCAATGGAAGGTCTTAAATGAACACTATTTAAGATAGTGTTCATAACTTGGAAGAAAACTCCCAGCAATACTATAGAGGGATTACAGTAAACTGGAGAATTTCCTGAAAAACTGTTTCAAGAAAAATAAATTTCAGTTGGCAGTAAGGCAGCATAGTCAGTGAATGCTGAATATTTCCTGCATGGAAACAACAAATTTCAACTGTAAAATGGTGAAAGAATGAAAAACCGAAAATGAACAATAGCAAAAAAATTTCCATTTTGATATTTGTTCTATTTTAAATTAAAGCTTTAAATATCAGATTAGAACCATTTAAACAAAGACATGAATTTTTTTTGCAATATGTCAATGTACTTGTAAAACTTATGGTTTATTTTGATGCATATAAATGATAACATTTTTTTTTTAACACACTGCAATTTAAGAAAATATCAATGATTTCAATTGAATATGTAAATTTTAAAAACTTACAGTTCCTGCTGTATCAAGGATCTCCAACATACATTGTTGTCCATCAACTTCTACTTGCTGGAAGAGAGAAAAAAATTAAAATATTTATTAAGTATTTTTTAAATCAATGAGTAGAAAAAAGAAACCTTGCATACTAGCTAAGAGGTCCATGACATTTTCCTGGTAAAAATATAGTTTCATACAATTAATGATTCTCATTTTGTCAATAGCAACTTGACACTTTCATTTAGCCTCTCATTTGTTAGCAATCCTTTCCTGTACATGAAATTTCTGAAGTAGTTGTTGATTGTGTATTTGCCACAGATGTTTTGCATGCTTTCTTGAAATGCCAAGAACTTATTGTCACACAGTTGCTGATTTTACTTCAAGGTTGCACTTGAGCATATTTGAGGTTTATTGATTGTTTGTCAGTTTCACCCTAACTTTCAAATATCTTTAACACATTTAAATTTTGAAGGTGTTAGACAAAATTTTTTATACTTACATAAAAGAAAAATCCCTGAAGATATTACTTGAGTAGGATTCAAGAGGGGACGTACTGAAAGTTTGTTATGAACCTTACCAAAAATAACTCAAAAACAAGAGATTTCTATTAAAGCTTTGAAAAAAAAAAGTAAATAAAAAAAAAAAGTTTTACTTGAATACATAATTTTTTTTTTTTTAAACTACTGATTAGTTTTAGCTTTCACATAAAAAACAAGATTTAACTTCAAAGTTTTCTTTAGCAAGTTTGTACCAATACTTTATATAAATGACCATTAAAAGTTCCATTTTTTTTGGGGGGGGGTGACAAACTTAAGCAAAATATAAAGAACTAAAAATATACCCAGTCTATTTTTTTTTTATTTAATTGTTTGTTATTTTTTCTTTTAGAAAACAGGAGTGGCTGTGGCAACAGCAATTGAAGCTGACTGTTTGGAAAAAATAAAATATTGCTTTATTTTGTGCAAATTGTTAGCAAGAATTTATTTTAAAAATAACTGCTTTATAGTTTTTAAATGCATCATTAAAAAATAAAATATAAGAAAAAGATTTAAACTATAATAGCTATGAAACAACTCCAATTTAAAATGGGATTGAGCTGGTGTTGTTCATTCACTGCCAGCAATACAAATATTGATGCATCAGACCCAACTGATTTGCACAAAATGAAGGCAGTATATCTGCTTTTTTATTTGTGACCTTGAGTTTTTGGGACACAAAAATATGGAACCAATTGATTATTAAATGAAACTTCTATGGTATTTCAGCCACTAAAGTTTTTAACTTAGAATATTTATTTTATTTTTTTTGTGAAAGACATCAAACCTTATTGATAAGCATCATCTTTTATTAAAGATGGGACAATTTTGATATTTATGAGCAGACAACTCTGAGTGAAACACCAATATGAAATTGCCAACTTTGAAAATATAGAAAATCCTTGATCATCATTGAAATAGTGATGATTTAAAGAGACGTGAAATAAAAACTAATCACATGAAAAATAATTATCTTTAGAAAGAGATAAGATTAAATTTTTTTTGCATGCTAATAGCCTTGAAAATAAACAAAATATCAGCAGTTGAAGATACCTACAGTTACAATGGAATTGTCCAGGTTGAAACTCCTTGAGAATATTACAAAGTGCTTGGTTGGAGATATTTCTAAAAAGTAATTGCTAAGTGAGTGGATATGAGTACAAATGTTAAAAATATTAGTCCAACTGAACTATCTACAAATGTAATTGATATGAGTAATCCAAGTAATTTATAAAAAAAAAAAAAAAAAAAACGCCAATTTTTCTACAAGATAATTAAGGAAGAATTTTACTCAAAACAGACATTATGAAAAAAGAATAATGCATTAATATGAAAACATAATGGTGAAGAATCATTATGGTAAGCTTTTATAAATCCATCCACAAAATAAAACAAAAATTAAATCTAGCTATCCCAAATTAAAGTTTTTATTTTCAATATAGCTAAAAACACAGTGATTGACAAAACAAAAATAATTGTACCTAATTTATCTTTGTCAATAGTAGCTCAATGAACAACCAAGTTATGACCATTTATTAGAAAATTTTCCATCTTGTGTTCTAAAAGCCAATTTTAACAGTGTATAACTGAATATGCATAATTAAAAAAATGAAAAATCAGATGTAATTTCATATAGGTAGTCTTGAAGTAAAAGATACTAATGGAATCTGACCATCCTAAACATGGTGTTCTCAAAAACGAAATAGTTAAAATAAAAAAAAAAAAATAAAAAAAATTTTTTTTTTAAATTTATCAAAAAAAAATCAAAAGAAAATAAATAAAAAAAAAAAAACAAAGAACAATTCTGACTGCTCATATAAGTTTCATTTTAAAAGTAAATGCCTTGCAACTTATAGCTTAACAGAGATGAAGTTAAATTTTCTCATATTTACAAGATATAAAAACAGATGGGCAATTTGACAGTAGGGTAAAAACAGGTTAAAAGCATACTATTCTGATTTTGCATTATATATCTTATACATGACACGGCTGTTTAAAACCCTTGTTTTTGTCATAGGAAAATCCAATATGGCGTGTAAACGAAATAGTCGGCAAAAAATCCCATTCGTCAGGAACATTTTAAACACCTCATAGAATGTAAAGTTCTCAAGGAAAACCTATGCCAAACTGTTTTCCTGAATCCTTGATGACTTGGCTGTCTGAAAATGACATCAAGATGAAATAATGGAAACTGACCGTGAAAAACACAATTATGCGCAACAGGTTTTGATCAATCAGTAAACTTCTGGACCTTTTCGGTCGACGTTATAGGATCCAGACGGCTAATTTTTACACATGGAATTATTCACTGGTAATAAATCTTCGATTTGGCTGTGAAAAACGTCACTCAGGTGGTTAGCATTAAAAAATTATGGTCAATTTTGTATGAACAACCACTTTTTCTTATTCAAGAAATAATTTTTTTCACTTCAAAACAATTTTTTTTTTCAAACTTCAATCCTTTGTCTTTACATTGGTGTAAATATCAATGAATAAAATGAACTATTATATGATCCGGCGATGGGAAATATGAAAGGTATATAGCAAAAAAAAAAAAAAAAGTGTCATCTGCTAGTGTTTTTGTCACCCGGGCTGATGGCAAGTGCAGTTGAGTTATTTATTAATTCATTTTTTAAAATTTGGGGATATGTTTAATTCATTTTATATAGCAAAAAAAAAAAAAAGTAAAATTTGGGAATGTTTTTAAAAAAAAAAAAAAAAACAAAAAACGAAAATGTTACTTTTTATCTCCACCAACTAAATGATGTTGACAGTTTATATTGTTTTTTATTGCTTTGAGAGTTTTTTTATTGCTTTGTCCAAAGACAATTTGGCTTTTGATGAACCCTTCCTTATCGCTGAGCTGCAATTTGGTTTAGAGAACTCGTGTCAAATTTCTTTTAACCACTACATATATTTGAAAATTACAAACGTACTTTATCGCATTTTGCATACGGTTGTTGCTGAAATAAGACGGTGTGCATGATATTTTGCAACTATGTTAACCATAGAGGATATTATTGCTTCCTTGGACTTGCCTCATGATTATTTTGATGATTTTCCCATAACCTCTGTAGCCAATGCGGCATTAATTACCAACGAAATCGTATGGTCATTACGGTCAAAATTTTCGGATGAGGAATCTCTTGTAGCTGTTTTGCGTTGTTTGTACGGAGTTCCTGACACAGTCAAGGCAAATTTAATATCTTAAAAGTTTTCCCATCTTTTTCAGATTCTTCTTCTGCCAAAGTTTTTTCAGTTAGTGCTCCCGAAAGTGGTGATAATTCATTGCTTTCTTCTATTTCATCCTCAGCTGAAAGCATGGCTGATTTTTCTTCAGTTTCCACATCGACTACACTGAGACCAGGGCAGCCAAATTATAAAAGCCTCGGCAAAAAAATTTTGAAGAGCTGAAATCTTTCTTTACAGCAGTCTCTTTCTGATTATGAGAAGGTGATTGCCGATCTTAAAGCTGAAAATAAGAGCCTCAAGAGAAAATATTCTGCTCAATTATTTGCAAAACAACAGACAACTCAGGCCCTTCAGAAAAAAATCGAAAATGCTCCAGGATTCAATAGAGAAAATTTCTGCCTCAAAAATTGTTGGTGATGTGGAAGGTATTGAGGATTTGAATGCAACAATGGCTAATAGATTTGAGTCCAAGAAGGTCCAAACCAGCAATTTAGTTTTGATCTCAAAAAATCAGTTTTCCCCAGTGGATGGCTATTCTGGATCTATTTTTTGGGATGAAAGCCATAAGGACAGAATTTTTATTTCTTTACCTGTTGCACGGAAAACTAATTCTAGAATAACATCTAAGAATTTGCATCTCCGAGCTAAGATGTTGCATATCGTCTCAGCATTAATTTCTGGCGTCGATGAAAAAAGATACTGATGAAGAAAATTTTTTTTTTTTTTTTTTTACATGAAATTGGTTTGCTTTTTGGACACCACATTCAACACCACAAAAATGATGTTTTCCAAAATTCTGTAGCTGAATGCCTCAAATCTAAAATCTGGCCACATTTAACAGTTGTTCAGGCGGTAAACCTTAGACTTTTATTTTGATTGGGCAACTTTGAGACGTTTTTCTGCACCCTGGCAGCCTATGGAATTACAATTTTTCCTTCAGAATTATCCATGCATTCTCATGAAAAAACTCTTGTTTGCCCTGAAAGTGAACTTAAAACCAAAATTGTACTCATGGACACAAAAAATAAAAGTGATGATGATGAAAGAAAACTTGTGGAGGTGCCAGTGTCCCAGGTGAAGAATCTGCTTGAATATATGACTCAAACCATACAAGCATGCTGCAAAAAATTTAGTGACTGTTTATGTCAAGCAAATGAAAAAGTTTTTGTCCTTTTTTCAGGTGACAAAATGAGACAAGAGCATTCCTAAAAGAAATTTCATTTCTCTGTTCTCCAAAAAAGATTTTTTTCAAGATTTTCAACACATGCAAATATAGGGAAATGCCAGTTTCAAAATAAAATGGACTTCCTGTCACTGTTCTTTTTTAAAATTATTAAAATTCCT